AATTTACTAGATGTTTCATTTGGAGGTAAATTATTCCAGTTTAAGATGTAATTATTACAGGATCATCATGATTGGCAATTCCTCATGGTCAATGATGATTGTTTTCTATAATTGTCTTATCTGTAGGTTCAAAGATGGCTTACAAGGCCAAGCTGGGATTGACAGGCTCTATTGAATCTTGGGCATATGTGCAGGGTGGATGGCTCCGGATTCCTAATTAGATTTATGACATGTTGTTTATGTAGCTCCTGCCTTTCTGTCTTCAGTTGTCATCATGAATTTCAAAGTACTGAGATCCTTGCAGCAAACTCTTTTTCCATTTGGGGCAGTCCTAGGCAATATCCTCCCATGAATTGATGTTGACGTTGCATTTTTTGAAGTTGGCCTTGAGGATGTCAGGCAGATAGCTGCCACACCTAGGAAGAGAAGCAGGGTAGTCATGGTGGACCACTCTCTCCTCAGAGGGCCAGAGAGAGTGATCTGCCACCCTGACCCCCTGCCTGTGAGGTCTTCTGCCTCCCAGAGGCCTGTATCTGGGATGTGGCAGAGAGGATTCCTAAACTCATCTGGCCCTCTGATCACTACCCCCTGCTCCTCGTCCATGTGGGCATGAATGACATGGCTCAGAGCAATCCTGGCCAGTTCATGACTGACTACAGGGCTCTGAAGGCTGGGCTCAGAGGATTGGAGGCACAGGTAGTTTTCTCCTCGTTCCTTCCAGTTATGAATCATGGGGAGGGGGATGTATTTAAGATGTCAACAGAAGACTGTGGTGTTGGTGCCATCATGAAGAGTTCAGCTTCTTCAATCACAGTTCACACTTCAGAGGCAGTGGCTTGTTGGGAAGGGACAGCCTCCACCTTACTTCAGTGGGAAAGAAGCTCTTCTTGGCCAGAATGGCTGACTTGCTTGACAGGGCTTTAAACTAAAGTCACCGGGGGATGGACAGACAATCATTAGTGCAAGTCCTGGAAGTGACAACCACATAATCAGCAGGTCAGGTAACACAAGGGAACTCACTCCTACCCCTGCCCAAGAATGGGACTTTTTTAAGAGGACAGGGAAGCCCAGGGCTTCTGATGTCAGGCTTAGCTGCCTGTACCCAAATGCTAGGAACATGGATAATAAACAGGAGGAACTGGCCCTTTTGTTAAACAAAAATGAATAAGATCTCATAGGGATAACAGAAACCTGGTAGGACTCCACCTATGACTGGACCACAGATATTGATGGCTACACCTTGTACAGAAGGGATCATGTTGCAAGGAAGGGTGGGGATGTAGCTATCTATGTGAAAGAGAAGGACACTTCCCTACAATCAGAGATTGGCATCCAAGGAGGGAAACTTAATGCTATGTGGTTTAGAATATGGGGAGAACATGGTGAAGGGATATTACTGTAGGGCAGGGTTCCCAAAGTTTTTATGCTGGGGCTTGGCAAATCACAGCCTGGAAGTGGCAGTGGCCTGTCAAACCACAGCCCAGCAGTCACAGCTGACCATGGCTGGAATTTCTGGCCAGAAGACAGGTAAGAATACCACCTCCCAGGGTATCCTGCCCTACTGTGGGCCCTGTGAAAGGAGCCAAGGCCTCTCCACCTAGCCAACCACGCTGTGGACCGGTCTGTGGCCCAGGGATTGAAGAACCCTACTGTAGGAGTCTATTACATACCTCCTAACTAGGAGGAAGAGCTTGACCATGAATTCTCTAAGGAGCTGGCAGAGGGAACTGGCAGAGGCTGCATGCTCTCTGTGTATAGTCATCATGGGTAACTTCAACCACCCTGACATCTCATGGGAAGAGCATTCAGCCAAATCTGATCAGTCAGGAAGCTTTCTCACTTGCACTGATGAGTGCTATTTCACACAAGAAGTCTATGAGCTGACAAGAGGTAAGGCACTTCAGGATCTGGTACTGGCCAAGGGGATGATCTAGTCAGAAACCCAAGGATCAAAGGGAATCTTGGTGACAGTTATCATAAGTTGATCACTTTATCCATCACAGAGCTGGCAAATGAGTCATCAATGCAGAAATCCTCAACTGTAGGAGAGCTGACTTTCACAAGCTCAGGAGTTTGGTTGTTGAGGCCCTGAGACACCATGATCTGACAGGGAGGGGAGCTCATGATGAGTGGTTTCTTCTTAAGGACGTGATCCTAAAAGCACTAGGGAAGTTCTTTCTGGTCCATAGGAAAGGTGGTAGCAAAAGGGCTGGGAGCCCCCCTTGGACCTCCTGAATCTGAAACAGAAGCTTATAAGGGATGGAAGTCAGAAACTACCAGTAAGGAGGATTATGCTCAACTGTAGGGAGTGTACCAGAAAAGCCAAAGCTGAAAGCAAACTCAAACTGGCTATGGGAATCAAGGACATTAAAAAGTCCTTCTTGAAATAAGTGGGAAGTTGGGAAAAAAAACAAGGCCAACATCAGACCCTTGCTGAACCAGATGGGGCAGATGATAACTGACACCCAGGAAAAAGCTAATCTCTTTGATGATTACTTTGCATCAGTTTTTCACCAGCCTAAAGGGATCACCCTGCCTGACAGGACACAGGACTACCAGGGTAAGGGTGATCATATGCTTATAATTGGTGAAGATCTTGTAAAGAAATAGCTTGAGAGGCTGGACATCCACAAGTCAGCTGGCCCAATTGGAATGCACCCAAGAATGCTAAAAGAGTTGGCTGACATCATAGCATGACCAATGGCAAGGATATTTGAGAACTTGTGGCACTTGGGAGAGGTTCCTGAAGATTGGAAAAGGGCCAGTGTTGTGCCTATCTTCAAGAAAGGAAGGAAGGAAGATCCAGGGAACTACAGGCCAATCAAATTGACCTCAAACCCTGGAAAGATTTTGGAAAAATCATCAAAAGAAACTATCAACAACAGGCTAATGGAAAGCAACATTCTGACAGATAGCCAACATGGCTTTATTGTGCGTAGGTCTTGCCTGACCAACTTCATTACCCTCTATGACCAGGTGAGACATCACCTGGACAAAGAAGAAGAGGTTGATAGCATATATTTAGACTTCAAAAAAGCCTTTGACCTTCTTTATCATGATGTCCTCATGGTAAAATTGGGGGAACTGAAGTCTCAACAACCTTACTGTCCGATGGCTGGGGAACTGGCTCCATGGTCAGACCCAGAGAGTGATTGCCAATGGAACTGTGTCAACATGGCACATGGTGACCAGTGGCATCACCCACACAGTACTCAGGCCACTACTCTTTAATATATTCATACGTTATATTGATTTGGGTGTCAGAAGCAGACTGGCTAAGTTCTGAGATGAAACCAAAGTATGGGGAAATGTGGTCACACTAAAGGATTGACTGGCAATTCAGACTGACCTAGACAGGCTCATAAGGTGGGTGGATCAAAACCTGATGACTTTCAACAGAGAGAAATGTAAGGTGCTCCAACTCAGGAGAAATCCCCCCCATCATATTTGTAGGCTTAGCAGTGGTACGCTCACTGAAAGAGACTTGGGGGCATGACTGACCAAAAGATGAACATGAGCTACCAATGCAGTGCCACGGCTGACAAAGCAAATACAACTCTGGCTTGCATCTACCGATGGACATCAAGCAAAACCCAAGAAGTCATCCTCCCACTTTACTGAGTGTTGGTGAGACTGTGGCTGGAGTACTGCATCCAATTATTGGCTCCACACTTTAGAAAGGGTGTGGAGAAGTCTGAGAGAGTCCAGAGGACAGCCATGAGAATGATTAGAGGTCAAGAAAACAGACCTTATGAGGAGAGGCTGAGAGGCATGGGACTCTTCAGACTGGAAAGCAAAAGCTTAGGGGTGAGCTCGTGGCAGCCTATAACTATATAAGGGGTGTGTTTCAGGAACTGGGAGAATGTCTGTTCACCAGGGCACTCCAAGGGAAGACAAGGTCTAACTATCACAAACTGCTGGAAGACCATTTTAGACTTGGCATAAAGAAAAACTTCTTTACAACACCAGAGTCTGGAATAGACTCCCCCCAGAAGTGGTGCAAGCACCTACTCTGGATACCTTTAAGAAACGCTTGGATACTTATTTTGCTGGGGTTATCTGACCCCAGCTGACTTCCTGCCCCTTGGGCAGGGGGCTTCACCCAATGGTCTGGCAAGGTCCCTTCCAGTCCTAATGTTTATGGAATCTATGAAATCTTTGTCCTTCAAGCTCTTGCAGCAGACTTTTCCTCCATTTGGGGCAATAGTCTTGCATGAGTTGATGTCAATGTTTCATTTTTTCAAGCTGACCTTGCAGACATGCTTGAAGTGCTATCTTTGTCCTCCTCTTGAGTGTACAACTTGGCTGGGATGGGAAAATAAAACTTTCTTTTGGAGTCCAGATTCAGACTTCCAAGCACTTCCTAGACTTGGAAGGACTTACTGGATAATTTATCAAGCGCTTACTAGACTTGGTGCTGGCCACATGGAATGATTGGTGGGGGATCTGCAGGTACAAGGTAACCTAGAAGATAGTGACCACCTATTGACAGAGTTCACTGTCTGGCAAAAGGTGGGGAAGATAGCTAGTAGGGCTGAATTGCTAGACTTCAGAAAGACCAACTTCAACAACCTCAGGAGATTAGTTAGGGAGGGACTGGCAGGCAAAAGCATCGGAAAGATGGGAGTCCAGAAAAGGTGGGCTTTTCTCAAGGGACTGATGCTGCAGACACAGAAAGGGACCATCCCAATATATATAAAGGGAGGCAAAAAAGAAGGAAACCCTCTTGGTTGGTCAGGGAAATCCAGGAGAGTCTGGAGGGGAAAAGAGGCCAACAGGCTGTGGAGTCAGGGGGCAGCCACCAAGGAAGAGTATAACTGCTTGATTCAAGCTTGCAGGGAAGTAGTGAGGAGAGCCAAAGCAGAAATGGAGCTTAGGATGGCAGCAAAAGTTAGGATAACAAAAAAATCATACTTTAAATACATAGGAAGCCAAAAAAAAAAGTGCAGGGTAACATTGGGCCCCTTCAAGATGATCTAAGGCAACTGGTAACAGATAGGATGGCCAAAGTGGAGCTCCTAAAGGATTTCTTTGCATCTGTATTCTTGGACATGAATACAAACATGTATCCCAATGGGACTTTAGGTAAGCACGAGATAGATACCAAGCCACCAACTGTTAGCGCTGACCTAGTAAAGGGGCACCTGGAGGGGCTGAATGTATTTAAGTCAACAGGACCTGATGATCTTCATCCTAGGGTACTTAGGGAATTAGCTGGAGTCATAGTGGATCTGCTAACACAACTGTTTGAGCCCTTGTGGCACTCAGGAAAAGTCCTGGGTGATTGAAAAAGGCCCAATATGCTACCTATTTTCAAGAAGGGGAGGAAGGAGGAACCAGCTAACTATAGGCTAGTTTTAGGATAGGATAGGTCACCTCTATCCTTGGCAAGACCTTTGAGAAAATTGTTAAGGATCACATTTGTGGGGGATCAGCTGGTAGAATAATGATAAGGGGCAACCAGGATGGGTTTATAGCAAACACATCCTGCCTGACTAACCTAGTTTCTTTTTAAGGCTGGGTCACAAAATGCTTGAATTAAGAAACAGAGGTAGATGTTATTTACTTAGATTTTTAAAAGGCCTTTCACAGTGTCACATCCAATTCTTATAAATAAACTAAACAGTTACAATGTAGATTATTACACAGTGTAGTGGGTGGAAAATTGGCTTATGGAACGCACCCGGAGAGTGGCGGTGGATGGGTCAATTTGTACCTGGAGAAATGTGGGCAGCAGAATCCTCCAAGGCTCTATCATAGGACTGGTACTATTCAATATCTTCATTAGTGACTTGGGTGAAGGAGTAGAAAGCACCCTGTCCAAATTTGCAGATAACACCAAACTATGGAGGGAAGTTAACAAACTAGAGGGCAGGGAGCAAATCCAGGAGGATTTGGACAGCGTGGAGAAGTGGGCGGAACAGAATAGGATGCAGTTTAGCAAAGATAAGTGCCACATGTTGCACCTAGGGAGGAAGAATCATCAACACTCCTATAACCTGGGAGGTACCATTATAAGTAGCACAACTATGGAAAGGGATCTCGGAGTCATAGTCAATTCCATAATGAACATGAGTCACCAATGTGATAAGGTAATAAGTAAACACTCTTTGTTGCATAAGTAGGTATCACAAACAGGTCTAGGGAGGTCTCCCCCTCTATGCAGCACTGGTCAGGCCACAGCTAGAGTACTGTGTCCAGTTTTGGGTACCACACATCAAGAGGGATGTAGATAACCTGGAAAGGGTTCAGAGGAGGGCCACCCATCTGGTTAAAGGCCTAGAAAAAAAACCCCATGAGGACTGATTGAGATACCTGAATCTTTTCAGCCTCCACAAGAGAAGGCTGAGAGGTGATCTCGGGGCTGTCTACAAACTCATAGGGAGAGACAGCAGAAAATAGGGGATACAATGTTTACCAGGGCGCCCATCGGGATAACTAGAAACAATGGCCACAAACTGAAGGAGAGCAAATTTAGACTGGACATCAGGAAAAACTTCTGTACAGGGAGGATTGCCAAAATGTGAAATATGCTTCTGGGGAGGGGGGGTGCTGTCCCCTTTTTTGGAGGTATTTAAGAGGAGATTGGACAAACACCTGGCTGGGGTCATCTGACCCCAGCACTCTTTCCTGCCCAGGGCAGGGGGTCAGACTTGATGATCTAATAGGTCCCCCCCAACCCTAAAATCTATTAATTCTATGAAATCCAGATGATGTGGCCAGCCCAGCAAAGCTGATGTTGAATGATGATTGCCTTGATGCTCATGGTGTTTTCTTATGAGAGAGAATGCTAATGTTGGTGCATTTGTCTTCTCACTGGACATGAAGGATCTTCTTCAGGCAGCATTGATGGTACTTCTTCGATGACTGAAGTGTCTCTTGTACATTGTCCATGTCTTGGCTCTGTACAGTTAGGTAGAGATCATGACTGCTTGATAAGCCATGGCCTTGGTTTTGATTCTGATGTCACAATCTTTGAACACCCATTTCCTCAGGTGTCCACAGGCTGCACTTACACATTTGAGGTGATGTTTAATTTCTTCCTCAATGCCAGCCTTTTGTGATAGATGGCTTCTGAGGTACAGAATACATGCCACATTCTATAGAGTCTCCCCATAAATCTGAATCATCAGATTTGAGGCTGCTCATTAACAGCTTGTTGATAGAGGACCTTAGTCTTCTGAATGTTAAGTATGAGTCCCATTTTCTTGTATGCCACAGTAGACATCAACAATTGCCTGAAGGTCTGCTTCTGAGTGAGAACACACTACATCACCAGCAGCACACTGGAGCTCAATGACTGAAGTCAGAGTAGTCTTGATTTGGGCTCAGATTCAGCTGAGATTAAACAGTTTACCAGTCTTTGAAGAGTTGAGCTCCGCTCTCGCTGGAAGTTTGTCAGTGGTCAGAGGTAGCATCATGGTAAGGAATATCAAGAAGAGTGTTGGAATGATGATGCGTCCTTGCTTAACTCCTGTCTTAATCTCAAAGGGATCTGTAATTGACCTGTTACGGAGAACTACCGCTCATGTACCATCATGGAGACGATGAAGAATGGTGATGAATTTTGGCATCTGTACCTGATAAAGATCCTCCACAATGCTTCTCACTTGACAGTCTCTAAGGCTTTCATGAGGTCAGAGAAGGCCATGTAGAGGAGGTTATATTTTCCTGCAGCTGGTGAGCAGTGAAGATCATGTTGGTTGTGCCTCTTGATGCCTTAAACCCCCCACTAATTTTCTGGAAGGAACTCTTCAGCAAATAGAAGGAGACAGTTCAGGAGGTTTCTTGCAATCATCTTTCCTGTGGTGCACAGCAAGGTGACCCCTCTCTAATTTCTAGTAAGACTTATCTCCTTTCTGAAGATTCTCACAAATATAGAGATGTGATGTAAGCTCTTCCCCCCAATACCTGAAAATTTCAGGAGGATTCTGTCTGCTCTAGATGCCTTGTCATTCTTCATTTGCTGCATAGCTCTCCTCACCTCATCAAGGGTTGGAGGGATTTGGAGATTATCTCTGACTGGGTGTTGCAGGATGGAATTGAGAACACTCTCATAAATGACAGTCTTCATAGATTTCATAGATTTCATAGACATTAGGGCTGGAAGGGACCTCGGAAGATCATTCGACTCCAGCCCCCCACCCAAAGGGCAGGAAGTCAGCTGGGGTCATAGGATTCCAGCAAGATAAGCATCCATCTTGATTAAGCAGGACTTCAAAATGCTCCTTCCAGTGGGCATTGATAATTCCCCTTTCCTTGATTAGGTATCCTTCATCCTTAGGCTTCAAGGGGGTTGGTCTCCCTGAGTGCTCAAACTGCAGATAGCTTTGTTGGCACTAAAAAAAACCCACACAAATTGTGGATGTTAGTGAGATGTTGAAACTCCCTTGTCTTGTCTTCCCACTATCTGTTCTTCAGGTCCTCCTTTGAATCTCTGCCTTGGCTTATTGGTGATTCAATTTATTTTGTTTGGAGTTGATATCATTCAGCCAAGCACAGAAGGTTTTGTGCTTTTAGTCAATCAACTGCTGGATCTCCTGGTCATTCTCATAAAACCAAACTTGATGTTTCCTGGTAGAGAATCCAAATGTCTCTTCACAGGTGCTAAAGATAGTGGACTTGAAGGCACCCCAAGCACTGCCAACGTTCTCCCATTCTTGTTGATTGGAATTTGCCAGGTTTTTTTGTTCAGACACTGGTGGAAAAAAATCTCACTTGATTGGACCCTTGAGTCCTTTGAATTGACCTTCCATCAGCATTGCTTCTGTTGCAGCCATCATTTTGAGTCCACTTTGAGTAACATAACTGAGTGTATATATCAGTGATTGGTCCACCAATCGTCAGCTTCTAGAATAGCTTGAATGATATGGACATTTTTGAGATCCCAGGCATGACATATGATGTAGTCGATGAAGTGTCAATGCTTAGATAATGGGTGTTGCCAAGGTGCCTTGTACTTGTTTTTCTTGAAGAACAGTGTTAGTAATTGTGAGTCCATGTTCTGTGCTTTTGGTCAAGAGGAGTATGTCAGTGGAGTTGACATTTCCCACTCCTTCCTTGCTGACAGTTCTATTCCAGAGGTTCAAGTCCCTTCCTACTCTGGTGTTGAATCACCAAGAAGAATGACTGTCTCCCACTGAGATATCAGAGAAGGCTTGGTCAAGGTTGGCATATAATTCCTTCTTGGTTTCACTGGCAGCATCAAAAGTTGGGGCATATGCATTGATGACAGTGACAAATTGTCCCCCTGCCAATTTAAGTCCAATAGGGAACTTGTTGAGTTGTTTTTTGAGTTAATTCGTATTGGCAAAACCAGCTCCATGAAGTCAGTGTTCTCCTTCCTGCTTACCCTTACTGCCTTGTTGTTTGAGCTGCCCATCTCCCACTTAGTGGGTTTCCCTCAGCACAGCAATGTCAATGTTGTGTCTCCTGAGTTCTCAAGTCACAATTGCAGTTCAGCATTCTGAGCATTCACTATTAGGATTGTCCACAAGGATCCTGATGTTCCAGGTCCTGAAAATGATTGCATGTGTTCATTGATTTTGACTGCAGTAAAAGTGATACCACTGGATGTGGTTATCCATTCAGGAAAAGGGTGGGTAGGTAGACTATATTTAGGGTACCTTTCATAGCACGTTCCCCATGTGGAGTGAGCATAGCAGATCCTAAAAAGAGCTAGTCAGTCACAATTAGGCCTCACAATCCTGATCCTGTCACCACTAGATGGTCACTCTTGGCACTTGATTTATGACCCAGATACCTCATTCCAGGTGGACACAAACTCTCAGATCAGCCATGACTTCTTCATTTGATAGTAGCCAAATGTTATTGATACACAATGATAGCAGATAAGAATAATGGAGAGAAGGCAACCTGCCCCTCCCCCCAGATTCTATATCTACCAGTCCTAGGTTTGTCACAGAGTGAAGGTACATATGGCCAGTATGCAAACTTCACCCTATGGTTCTTTTTGGAATGTCATAAGTCAGCATCCTGGAGTTTGAGGACTGGAGCCTCCCCCCACCCCCCGCCTCCCCACCATTGGTGTGGGTGAGATGGGATGGTGTTGTGCCCTCTGTCCA